CTTAATTTTGTTGTTGTGATGTGTTGTGTTTTAATTGGTCTATTATGATTGCAGGTATGTAGATTGTAACATTGAAAGAGGGTTTTATATTTTTTTGATGGTACAGGTTTTTGATGGTTTGTCGACGGTTTATCGAACAAGTGACGGTTTTTCGACGGTCTATTGAATGTCTATTGAACAAGTGACGTCTGGCAAAGTGCTACACTTTTTCTACGGACAGAGCTATCAGTAAGTTTACACAGTTAACCGACGGTTCGACGACAGTTTACCGACAGAACCGCCATAATTTTCTGACGAAAGTACAAGAATTTTCCTATGGATAGTTTCATCGGTTAAATAACCAATGGTCAAGCTACAGTTAAAAATGACATATTTTCAGATTTATAGTGTTAGTTAACCGTCGGTTAATATAAACTGTCGTTAAATCCGTCAGTAATTGAATTACCAACAAGTGTTTTTGCAACTTCAATTTTGTCGTAGCTAAACTGTCAGTAAGTATATTAACTACGGTTTATCGGTTATTGTCGACGATAATTTACTATCGATAATAAACTAAATTCATGTAGTGCAATTAAACCCTTGACTCCCTATCCTATACCAACTAAATCCTTCTATAGTTTCCTCTCCATTATTCCTAAAGCTCATTTATCCTTCATAAACTCATCACTTCACAAATAAATCTAAAGGTGTGCATTCTTTGGCCAAAAAAAAAACAAACTAAGCCTAACCATTTTAGTTGATTAAGTTTGATTTCAAAAATGTATTTTGGTTTTTGGTTTTTAAAACCTTAATATTCTGTTTTTGCTTATTTGTTCGGTTTGAATTTTCATTTAACCAAGCAAACCAAAAAAACCAAAATTTAAATAAAAATTCTTATTATATTTTAGAGGCATTTAGATACATATCACTCAATTCCTATGCATTCACCTAAACTCTACTTTTTACATTTATACAACCAAAATCTTTCATATTTCATTAAAAATACCACCACCTTTTAAAATTGAGATACACCATTTTTGCGCATAGGTAATGTGGCATTACTATAAAAATTGAAGCTTAGTTGTTAGAACAAAATTGAAGTTTAGGTGTTAGATAAGTAAATACGTTAGAATTAAGTTGTATGCATGTAACTCTTCCTGTATTTTAATGTCATAAAAAAAACAAAATTTATCATATATGCAACATTTGATTAAAAGAAATGGATGATTCATGAAATTAAATTGATACAACAACAACAACAAAGCCTTAATCCCACTACATGGGATTTTGCTCCATTGCGTCCTATTTAGTGTCATATTTTCATTTAATTCTAATAAATTAAGATTTCTTTTTATACAATAAGCCCAAGTCTTCCTAGGTCTACCTCTGCCTTTCTTAACATAAGTTAAATATAAAACATCTACTCTACTAATCGAATCATCAGATAGTCGAATTTTAATGTGACCAAACCATCTAAGACGACCCTCTCTAATTTTGTCCGTCACTGGAGCTACACCAACTTTATCACAAAGATATTCATTTCGCCTTTTGTCTCTAAGTGTAAAGCCACTCATCCACCTAATCATTCTAATCTCGGCTACACTTAACTCAGTATTATGTTTCTCTATTATAGGCCAACATTCAACGTCATAGAGCATTGCAGGTCTCACCACCATCTCATAAAATTTTCCTTGCAGTCTAAGCGGTACTTTTCTATCACACAAAAGGTCCGAAGCATTCCTCCACTTCAACTAGCCAACTTGGATTCTACTATTAACATCCCCATCTATATTACCATCGCTTTAAAAAACAAACCCGAGATATTTAAATCATTCATTATGTCCTACAGACTTTCCACCCTTGGTTTTCTTTAAAGTCTCCCCAACTTCTTTTTTACCAATGCGACAGTAAAAATGAAACATTTTATTATTATTAACGATATTAAGATCACTAAGGTCGGTCGTATTTTCAAAAACATCATTAAAAATTTTATCAAAGTAACTCACCCACTTATGTTAAATATCTTTTCTAAGAAAAACACTTTGTAATTTTCATCTTTAATACACTTTACTTGGGTTAAATATTTGTTTTTCTTTTCTCTTTGTTTGGCTAGTTTATACATATATTTTTCATCATTCTTAGTATGTAATCTTATATAAAGATCACTAAAAGCAGGATTTTTAATGTCACAGATTGTTCTTTTAGACTTCATGCGGCCAATTTTTATAACATAACTTCTTATATTTTATCTTTTCTTGCACATTATTATTCGACCACCAACTATTTTTATTTATAAAAAAATTTTCTTTTGATTTTCCAAGTACATTTTTTGCTACTTTTTAATAGTGTTTATTACTTTATCTCACATAACATTTGCTACTTCATGAACATCCCAAATTTTGAAATCTTGAATTTTACTCATAAAAATAATTTTATGTGTGTCTGTTAGATTCCCCTATCTAGTTCTACGATGATGAGTCTTAATATTCTTTATTTTACAACTCTTCAACTTAAAATCTAGAACTAATAATTGATCTTGCGTACTTAACTCTTCGCTTGGAATGACCTTACAATCTTTACAATCATGACGATCTCTTTTTCTCATAAGAAAATAAGCATATTGTATTTTATTAGATCCATTCTTATAAGTAATAAGCTGCTCATCTTTTTCCTTGAATAAAATATTAGTAATAACAAATCATACGCTAAAACAAAATCTAAAATTACTCTACCTTCTTCATTAGTCACTCCAAATCGTAGCCACTATAAATATTTTTGAAATATTCGATCACTCTGATGACATGTCCATTTAAATCTCTTCCAATAAAAATTCTTTCTTCAAGAGGTGTCATTTGTATTAAGTCTTCTAAGTCATTTAAGAATTTACCTTTAGACCCTATATTCTAAACCTACTTGAGGAGCATAAGCATTTATAATATTAAAAATCTTAGTATCAATAATAATCTTAAGTGCTATAATTCTTTCTCCAGCTCTTTTAATTCTTACAACATTATCTTTCAAACTCTTATCTATAATTATACCTACACCATTTCTAGTGCGACTCTTTCCAGAATACCAAAGTTTAAAACCTAAGTTATAAATCTCTTTAGTTTTTTCTCCAACCCATTTAATTTCTTGAATACATAAGATATTAATCTTTCTATGCATTATAATATCAACTAATTTCATTAATTTATCATTGAGAGTACCTATATTTCAAGATCTTATCCTAATATTAATTTCATAAGCTAACTTCTTTATCCACATTCGTCCGTAATGTGAGAACCCTTGCTTATTTGGCACTACAGACGGCTTTGCACACTTTTCACTGTATCCATATCATACTACACGTTGATTCTAGGGAGCGCCCTAACACTTACACAAAGTTCAAAAGGATTCATTTTATGATTTTATTTCGACAATTTTTACGCTGGCTGTCGACTACCTAACACAGCCTTTCACTTTTCACATTCAGGCTTGGGACCGTCAATGACAGTGTTAAATTTATATTGTACTTTTAAAAAAAAAATATTATACATTTAAGATATGAACTTTCTAATGTATCTTTATAATCAAACTCCAGCAAACAATTAAACTTCGGCTAATTCATAATCAAACCGTTTAAACTAAATCAAATATTTGTTCAATTGTTAGGTTTATTAAAATTTTGATTAGTTCAATTTTTTGGATTTTTGATTTTGATTGCAATTAATTTGACTAATTTGCAAATAGATCTATCCAAACTGACTGAATACTCGCCCCTAAATAAATCTCAGCACAAATTGACAATCTAAAGAGTTCTCACTACAAAAAATTAAAAGTGTGATGCTTATAAATAATAACAAATCAAACATTAAACTACAAAACATCATTCTAATTCATGTCAACCATAAATTAAATTTAAATGAGAAAAATTCCATGAAGTATTGATATAAAAGGCACATCAAAAGAATGCAAAGGAAAGAAAATAGGTGCTGATATAGCAATATATTATTATAAATACTTGAATTATATTTTACATGAAATGGTACCATGTGGTGGCAGTTCTAGCATGGTATTAATGATAGGAACCGGATATTTGTGCGCTGTCATGCGATACATACATTCAGGATAAAAATCATAAAGCAAATAACTCTCTGATACGACACATCTAAAAAATCCCGGCTGCAAATAGCGACCTATACAAAATCGTATAATAGAAACATGCTTGTTGGAAAATCAACGATCATATGGTAATGTTAAATGAGAACAGTACTTAGAAACATTTTCACAACAGAACAATTCTTTGTAGAGGGCAAAATAAGATATTTTGTGGGCTGAATTAAATATATTCAGAAGAGCATTGGATGCAAATATTTATCAGAAAGAGGTTACGCAGAAGTATTTTATATTGAGTAAAATAATTAAATTTTGTGGGGGTACAGTTTTCTGTGTTGTATTGAATGATTTTAGTCTATTCAAACTATGCAGAATAGCAATTAATGCTACAGAAACCCCTGATTTTGGAAGCTGTCTATTAGTTTTCCAATCAATTCAAGAATTATGGGGAAAGCGTGCATCAATTAAAGCTCAAAGAAATATCAACAATTAAATTCTGATGTTTTACCAAACGTATCCATCGAACAGCAAAATTGTCCGTACAATGTTAAGTTACCTTGGCTTCAACATGAATAGGATTTAATAAATAGATAATTTGGAACACATAAAAAACTAAATAAAGCAGTCTCAGCTGAAGCGGTAATCTAGAGTTTCTGGGATGAAACGAATTGTACAAAACCAAGGCGCAACAAGAAATCGAATATGCGATATCGGGATACTACCAAACAGATCATTATACTGCTAAATCATCAACTTAACGTTATCACAAAGCCATAGAGCTGTTACAATTCCTCGGATTTAACATGAACGGGTCCTAATCGAAAGAAACAACGGGAAAACATAAGAAAAATAGATAAATAAATAAATAAAAAAGTTCCAAATATCGGCAAAGTCTAAACTAGGGTTTCTGGTAAGAAACGAACCGTATAGAAGAGAAGAGATCTGAGATTCAGTCTCCTGTGGTGCTAGATCATTCCGGTGTGAGGAAACAGCGACGATCGCCTTCGGAACCTCCATTTGGACCCCAAATGGCAATCCCTGAATAAGGAGAGATGGCTAGCGGGATTTTCGTATTTATAGTGGATTTCACCTGGAGGGAAATTAGAAAATAATCTGGTTTTGAACGTGGTTCGTTGATCGACCTAGAAGCAAATCTGACCGTCCAATCAATGAACCCAATATCAGCTTAAGCCAGACTATTTGCTGTTGTTTTTATTTTTATTTTAACTTAGAAGCAAACCCTAACTTGTTTATAAGGCATCATTTGGAGGAGCTTTGGTTCAGCTCCTTTAAACTAGACGATCATAACTCGAGCCAAGCACTTACATTTCAGAACGATGAAAACGTAACGAATTATCTTTAATAACTTGAATATATGTCATATCAACACTTTCTTCTCAATAACTCTCCAAAGGATATCTCTTGGAATCTTACCGTAAGCTTTTTCTAAATCAATAAAAATCATACGTAGATCCTTCTAATTCTCTTTGAACTTCTCCATCAAACCTCTCAATAAATGTTTCGCTTCTATAGTAGACCTGCCGGCATAAATCCAAATTTATTAAGAGAAAACTTTGTAAGATATCTTAATCTATGTTCAATTACCTTTTCTCATAATTTCAAAGTATGACACGTCAACTCACACTCTTATGCATCCAATATATTCTTAAAAATGGAGACCAAAATACACGTCCTCCACTCCTTACGCATCTATTTAATTTTTAAAATAATATTAAAAAGTTTAGTAAGCAAAGAAACTCCCAAATCCCCTATATATTTCAACACTTCTATTGGGACATCATCTGGTTCTCCAAACTTTTCTTAGAGCTTCCTCAACATCTTTTTTACTATGGCGACGGTAAAAATAAAAAATATTATTATTATTAACGATATTAAGATCACTAAGGTTGATTGTATTTTCAAAAAATTAATCTAAAAATTTATCAAACTAACTATATCTCACTGACCTATGTTGAATATCTTTTTCTAAGAAAAGTTTTTTTTCATCTTTAATATACTTTTATTGAGTTAAATCTTTACTTTTCTTTTCTCTATGTTTGAATAGCTTATACATATACTTTTCATACTATTTAGTATCTAATCTATTATAAATATCATTAAAAGTAGAATTTTTAGAATCACATATTCTTCTCCTAGTCCCCCTACAAGTCATTTTATAATTTTCCTAGTTCTCTAACCTTTTACATTTAAAACCAATTTTTATAACATAAATTCTTATATTCTATTTTTTCTTGCACATTGTTATTCCACCACCAACTATTTTTATTTATAGAAAATTTTCCTTTTGATTCTCTAGACACATCTTTTGCTACTCGTTTAATAATATTTGTTACTTTATCCCACATGAAATTTGCTTTTTCATTAACAACCCAAATCTTTAAATCATGATGTTTACTCATGAAAATAAATTTATTTGTCTTTTAGGTGTCCCCATCTAATTCTACGATAATGATTTCTAGTATTCATTATTTTACAACTCTCCATTTTAAAATTTAGAACTAATGATTGATGTTGAGTACTTAGATACTCACTTGGAATGACCTTACAATCTTTACATTCTTGACGATCTCTTCTTCTCATAGAAAAATAATCAATTTGTGTTTTATTAGATTTATTCTTATAAACAATAATATGCTAATCTCTTTTCTTGAATAAAATATTAGCAATAACAAAATTATAAGTTAAAACAAAATCTAATATGGTTCGACCTTCTTCATTAATCACTCAAAAACCGTAGTCACCTTAAATATTTCTATAATTTTCAACCACTCTATCGACATGTCCATTTAAATCTCCTCCAATAAAATTTTTTTCTTTAAGAGGTATCATTTGTATTAAGTCTTCTAGGTTTTTCCAGAATTTATCTTTAGAACCTATATCTAAACCTACTCGAGGAGCGTAAGCACTTATAGTATTAAAAATCTTAGTATCAACAATAATCTTAAGGGCTATAATTTTATCTCCAATTCCATTAATTTTTACAATGTTATCTTTCAAACTCTTATAAATAATTGCACATAAATAATTACACATACATCATTTCTAGTATAATTCTTACCTGAATACCAGAGTTTAAAACCTAAGTTATTTATCTCCTTAGCTTCTTCTCCAAACCTTACCTGAATACCAAAGTTTAAAACCTAAGTTATTTATCTCTTTAGTTTCTTCTCCAAATCATTTAGTTTCTTGAATAGATAAGATATTTATCTTTATATAAATCATAATATCAACTAATTCCATTAATTTACCTGTGAGAGTACCAATATTCCAAGATCTTATCCTAATATTTGTTTTATAGACTAACTTCTTTGCCGCATCCGTCCATAATATAGAAACCCTTGCTTATTTGACACTACACCCGGGCGCGGTGTAGCTCCCATTGCACGCTTTTCACTGTATTAAGGTCATATAACGCATCGCTTTCAGGGGATGCTCAAGCATTTACACAATAATCAAAAGGATTCATGTCATGATTTTTTGACAAATTTTATGTTGGTTGTTCAATTTTATAAAAGCTATAAGATACAAAAAATGATTTTCAATTCTATAAGACCATAGTTTATAAAAATAAAATAGGATCCTTCTAATACTAAAGCTTAAAAGTTATATAAATTATTGAGTACAACACAATGATCATTATAAGATAATTATACAAACCACTTGGAAATATCTATTCAATGAAGATGCTCAACATTAAAATTTAGTTCAGTATACCATAAGATTGCAATTAATTTGCATGCTTATTACATGAAACCAACTCAAAGAGAACTATTTCAGAGGACTTATATAGAATAATGAAATTAGTCTAATCTAGGTTATTAGGATTAAGTTTACAAAAAAATACTATTTTATTAACACGTGTTTGTTGTAATGCAAGAATAATGAGATGGAGATTGAATGTAGATTTTATGAAACCCATATTCAAGCCACAAAGAAAAAAAATACACAAATGAAAAAAAAGTTTCAAGCAAATATTATTCTATTTGTGACTCATTTCATATTAACAAAAACTTTATGCATCCACAAATTTTACTGAATAGAGGAAATGACATTTTCAGAGTCGTAAATCAAATATTTTGAGTCACCCATCAGACAATGAAGCATTATAGCAATTCAATCATACATATCTTAGCTTTGCTATAGAGTCACCCGCTATTAGGCTTGATTTATATGCTAATGATTTCACACCATATAGCCATATTGTATCTCTTTACTTATGCTTTCTAGTGATTTAACATCATAAAACCTACTATCAAAGATATATTTGACCATATCTTTTATGTTTATATATATATA